AGCCGTGCGGACAGCACCTGCGAACTTCGCAGAGGTGTACCCTTGCATACTGTTCAGGTCATAAGAGCACCCCTATCGGGGCTGTGTATATGTAAATATTTGGCATACAGAGATACATATAGCCTCTTTCATCCCCATCGGACTGGTTATCTCCAAAATTTTGGCCTTTTTGGCTATATCTATCTCTATATTGGAAGCCGGATGGCGACAAATTTACTCATTTGACCATATAGAGACGCGAATTACATGGCGCCACTTGGCCAAAAGACCATAGAACAGTGTCAATACAGTACCTCTCTTACTCGATGCCCCGCACCCCTCGTACACTATGCCCTATCAGGGCACTTCAATTTCAAATTTACTCCTAAACCGATAGTGTTACGCACAGAAATGCTATATGCAAACGCAAAATTTTACACATTTAGCCACCAAATTTAGCCAAACGGATAGGGGTGCTCTAAGTTGAACCGAAGTCTTGGCGCCAACCCACCCGAAAGGTTTATACTGTACCGTCACACCCCAATACTGTAATGTATTCAATATTTTTCAGGAATTGCAATAGAAACCTTTCTTTTTGTTTCCTTTTTCTTTCCGCGGAAACGTCTAGGACTCGGGATGCGTGCATCGCAAAGAATTCACAAGTGTTCACACAAAGTTGTGCTCTGCAATCGCGGTGCGCTACAATCCTCACCCTCCCTGCCCTTCCACTAGGACCAGTAGTGCGGTCAGGGACATGCCAAGCCCACGCACAAGACAAGGCGAAGAGTGCGGGGTGATTTATGCGCAACATCAGGACCAGGAAGATCTTGACAGCATCGCTTCATCCACCGTCCTCCCGTTCAACCTACCACCGACCTTTTGTGCCCAGAGTTCACCCGTGGCAGATGTTCACGAACCAATTGCTACCACTAATAGTCCTCGCGCCAACCTTGCTCAAACTGTGAACGATAACGCCCCTCCACTGGCTCCAGCGGAGCGACTCAGCTACAAGAATCGGCCGCCAAGAGCTCTGCACCTGACGCCTTGTACATTCGAAGAATATCTCACGTTAGGTTGCGATAGCGACCATCGTTACGAACTTGTGGACGGTCTGCTCGTGTGGTGCCCTCCGATGGCTGATGAAGAACATGGTCAACTCATCACTTTTCTCGACCGAATCTTGGAGTACCTCCCTGCGGACTACAAGCCTCAAATTCAGCATAACACGCAAAGAGGTGTGCGTATCATTTCGAAGAGGAGCACAAAGTGTGAGTATCAAGTTGATTCTTCGTCTGCCTTGCCCTCACCAGACACAGAAGACTCATCAGGTGAACAGGAGGAGGCTACCTCGCGTCTTCCCTCTTCGCCGCATCCGGTCATGCTTATTGAGGTCACAAGTAACAACCGTCGCACTGATCTAGGTATAAAGCGAAATGAGTATGAACAAGAGGGAGTGAAGGAATTTGTCGTTGTAGATCGGCAAAAGAATGTCAAGAATTGGTCTCCGTGCGTAACTGTATTCACGCTCAACAGACGAAAAAAGTATATCGCGAAAACATACAAAGGTAAAGAGAAGGTAAACTGTTCGTTTTTCGACCATTTCAAGCTAACTGCAGCTCAGATGCTCGATTATAAGTTCCTGCGGAAATTTCATCAAGAAGAGAAGCATAGGAAGGACACTGCTGAATGTAGGGCGGAACAAGCTGAATGTAGGGCGGAACAAGCTGAATGTAAGGCGGAACAAGCTGAATGTAGGGCGGAACAAGCTGAACGTGAGATTGAAGATCTGAAGCGGCAGTTAAAGTATGCCAGACACAAGAATGGCAATGTCACTAAAGCAAACGTCTTAACTGATGACGAAGGAAACGACTCGGGTGAGAGCGCCAAAAGAAAAAGAATCACTAGCCGAAGAGCGCGGCCGCCAACAAGACTCACGATATCTATGCGTAATCTAGGCGATTCTGGTACAGGCAGTCCGAAATCGCCGGCGTCTCTGCCTCACAAGACGATGAAGAGGAGGGTAGTCGAAGTTGGATCGCCCTCGGTGAGAAAAAAGCGCAACTCACTACAGCCTCGCACTGGAAGGCGAAATACTTGCCGACAGGCTTCTGGCAAAGAATAACTGGCCCTCCAACGGATCGTTAAGGTGCGGAGACTTGGGTTCCACTTCTTGTCTTGAAGCCAGACTTGCTGGTTAGATTATACGGTTGCAGTTTCTGCGAGGTGAACTCAGTTGACCCTTTTCTTTCGGGCACCAACCCGGATGCTGGCATATCCAAGTTTCAAGGTTTCTGCAGCAACAAGCCACATTTACGGAGATTATCCGGCCATTGCTAGGATTCCACTCCAATAGTTTCGCTTAGACGACCCTTGTGAAAAAATGACGTAGATTCCCTAACCGCTAACCCCCTAATCCCCCTCGGCATAGAACTCCTCACCATCGCTGCGGACGGCTCCGTCCGCGCCACGCCGCAGCTCGTGCGCACCTTCGGCGTTAACGGTACCTTACTACCCCGACGGAAGCACAGTGATCACGCACGACAACGATATGCCAAGTCTGGCATGGAACCACTTTCAAGTCCATGATAATTTCGCATTTCCTGATTAGTCCTGCGACAGTTGTTGCCCTCCCCCCCCCCCCCCCTTCAAAAAAAAAGGATCGCTCGGTATCTAACCCCCGCAATAGACGTCAAAACAACCACCAACTGACTGAGAGCCCGAGCCATGAAGCACCGAAAATTAAACCGGAAACATCCATATGCGCAACCGCTTTACTCTCAACACAAACTGCCTCTTGCTTCCTAATGCATCCGTCTCCGCAGCCAAGCGGTCTTCACCCACCTCGAAAAACCGCAACGCGATATCCCTAACGGGCGTGGCCAAGTCATTGACCTTTTACGCGACACGAGTGAGCTCCTGGGTCCGATCCACACCCAAGGCAGAAGCGTTTTGCACGGTGAGCAGTTGCGATTCTGAAAAGCCTGCGTTGTACTGGTGTCAGGGTTTCCATCTTATAATCTGTTTTCGTGGCGAAAGATTCCCGACATTCCTTGAGTTCGTCTAGGTACGTTTTCTAGCGCTTTCGGAATGACATTTAGAGGTCTTGCAGTCTTGCTTTCACCTCCATCTTATTACCTGCCAAGCTACTACTGTACATGTCACGGGTACCCCTTCCGTTCCCGTCCGTCTCTTCACCAATGATAATGCCGCTGCTCCGGCTCCCGTCAGCACGATCAACACACAAAGCACCACCAAAGCCCAAGAACTCAACACAGCCCGCTCAGGTCCACGAACAGCCGTTCGTAAGAACCTAGGTTCTTGAATCTCTATCTTCACAATCTCCCATCTCTCCAGTTGTTTAATACCATACAGTGTCGCCCGCAAAACGTTGTTATCGCCGCCGCGAGCGCTAGAGAAATGATGGTATCCGTTACCCTTCCCATTGTTCCAAAACGAAACGGCAAAGGTCTTGATCGCCGCCAGGTGGTCTCCTTCCATAGCCTCCTCTCGGTCATTGTCAAGATGCGGAAGGAATTTTGCCCGGAAACTACCCTGCTGCCTAGAGACTTGATGACAGTCGTCATCCTCTATCTCGCCCAGCGTTTCAATCTGGAAAGTATCATCTCGCACGACTCCTTGCACGATCAAGCGGTAGTCCCAACCGTCAGTGCGGTAGCAATACAAAGGCAGGCAATCTTAACGATCTGACAGTTTCGCGATTCTGTCCCCGGTGCACACCTCGGATATGGTTTTAACAAAGTTCCCTTCGTTAAACCGCCCGAAGACAAATCTAGTTCGCCAGAAATCCACATAAGCAGTGCGAAAAACGAGATTAACATCGAGAACTTTTACCGACGGTGAGGGAGGGCGTCCGATGCAAAACTGAACGATTCCTCAACGTCATCCAAATCCAAATACGACACGTCAAACAGAAGAGCCGGAACTTTGGGCTCGAAGTCGGTCTCATAAGCGCATGTGGGCTTGGCATCGGTCCCGAAGTTGGGCTTGTCCATTTTCTCCAGCCTCTCGCCCATTCACTACATCGCTGCGTACACCTTCTCCCTTCGTCCTTCTTGGTCTTTGCTATCCTTTTCTTCTGCAAGAGATCCAGTATCAGCCCAATCCCGTGCTTTTTGCTCCTCAAAGATCTCTCGTACGTCTCACTCTCCCTGCCCGGCATCCACATACGTTTTCCCCGCGCCAAACTTCCCTTACGCTCTCCCGCTTCCCCTAACGCCTTTCTAAAACGCCCCTGCCTACTTACGCACCCCGTGCTCAGTCCCCGCCGCTTTCCGTCCGTACACGTCCTCTTCCAGCGCCTGTCGCAGCACCCTGTCCTAGCCGCGTACTCCCTCAGGCCAACGATATGCCGTTCCACGCTTGACACGCAGATCCGTTCCAGTGCCTCGTCATTCTTGCATCCCCCTCGCCGAGCTGCTTGAACAGCTTGTACTCGCGCCTCCAAAGCGCCGCGTAGCTAGGCGCATGAGTAATGCCCTGGCGCGGCGTGACATGGAGAGTTGCCTTCACACGCGAGGCCCGCTTCCCTCGCCAGCATCCGTATGCCCTGGTCGTTCGTTCATACCGTTCATGATATCGAAGGTGACCCTTCCTTCGCGCCTAAATCCATGGCCTTTCCGCGTGCCCTTAAGTCGATCTAACGGCCCTCTCCGCGATAGTAGCGTTTCGGTGGGATTTCCATCCGTGCGGTCGCCGTTCATCTCGTGTTCTTGTGTGTTGTTATGCTTTCGGAACCACAGAAATGAACCGCTGCAATTTTTTGACTTGAGCGTCTCCGCATTGCAAAACTCGGGGAACTGTGATTGTACCTATCTGAATGATTTCGTCCGAAAACAGTCTTGTCGTGGCCTCCAGTAAATGTGCCTGGTCTCTTAACGCTCCCTCGTGTGCCATCAGCGATACCGCCCGTGCGCAAATCAGTGTATTTCTTGGGGCCGTCTTTTAAGCTCTGACGGGTGTCCGGTCATTGGTACAGGCTTCCCGGTAAGGCAAAGGTGTGAGGAGCCCTGGGCAACCGAGTAGCGCATACGGGAATCAATTGCGAGCAAACGTGAGATGAAGTGGATAACGCCGCGCGAAAGATACTCGGCGTACTCGACCATGCCTTCGCCCATCATAGCAGTGATAAGATCGCCATCCGCATCAACATACGGGTGGGAGCCCGTCAGCATAATGTAGGAAATGATACCTTAGGACCATGCATCAGCTTTCGTACCATCGTAGCCCTCGCCAATGCTGTATGTAACTTCCGGGGCAGAATAATAACTTGACCCACACGAGGTGCACATAACAGATTGTTTCCTGATAATACCTGTGAGACCAAAATCACTAATCTTCAAGGATCGTGTTTCGACATCAACGAGGATATTCTCGGGGTTTAAATCGCCATGGACGATGCGAACAGCATGTAAGTAGGCCACCGCGGAAGTAATCTGGCTTGTACAACCCTTTGAATCTTGCTCTCTGAGTGGGCCGTCTGCAACAATGTCCAAAAGTTCCTTGACAGGAGCTATCTTCAAGACGAGAAAGAGTTGTGTATTGCTCTGAATGGCCTCGACAAAGCGGACAATTTTGGGGTGAGAGAGCTTGCGGAGGACAACGGCTTCGCGTCGGGCGTAACGGGCCATCTCGAGATACTCAAGGTTTTTCTTTTCGCATTATCTTGACGGCATAGCGGCGGTTGGTCTCGTCGTCGAGGCGCAGTATCACCCCCGAGAAGATGCCAAAGCCAAGTTCAACTGGACATCTTCTCAAACTTAGACGAGCTCGTATCTTTTTGGTTCAACTACTATCAACACGAAAGCAAAAGGAATCCGGGGCCTCTTTCTCCGCGTTGTCGCCGGCATCCTGATCGTGCATGCACAGCAGCGCGCGTGAGCGGCGCACAACGGGAAGAGGGCACGCCAAGTGCGAGGAGAGGAGCCGTGGCGGCGGGCTCAGCGGGAGCGCGAGAGAGGCGCAGAAAGCGGGAAGAGAGACCATGGCTGCGCGGCGGCGGGGACAGGATGAAGAGCGAGGTTGGAGTTCACGGTGAGAGAGAGGGGAGTGGGAGCGCGTGGGTTAAGAGGGGGGAGGTCGGTTCAAGAGAATGAAGGGCAGGTGTCGCGGGGAGGCGGGCGGGGAGGCGGGTGCAGTTGGAGAATGAGATTGTCACGGCCATCATGTGGGGCAGCGCTAACAGGCTAAGACACACCCTCAAAAAAGCGCCTGTTAAGACATACCCTGAGGGTGTGTCTTAACAAGCGCTTTTTTTACGAAATCAGAAGTTGGGGGGTAATACGACGGCACGGGCTCTAATCATACCCTGTACGTAAATCAGCTACTGTACAAGTTGGGACCCCCCCCCTTGGGGGGGTAAGTTGTACACGGCAAATCGCCCCCTTTTACGGTAAATGCGGCATTCTCTCGTAAGAGCATCGCCTCAAACAAGGCTTTTCTGAAGAAATGGCCACTAAACTTGAACACTACATACGGTACCGCCAATAATTATAGCCGCACCCCACAAATATGCATTGCTGGTAAAGGAATCTTACTTTGCATAAAAAACTGCTTTGTCCTTGACGCATTCCTGCACGCTGCGTCCAAAACAATGCTCAGATTTTGAAACGCATCAATAGTTTGGAAGATATGCATCAAAAACCATTTATGGGGTGACAGTAATTATAAAGTACAGTGCTTGTAAACAACCACAACTGTGGTTCAGTACTTCGTAGGGCCACCTTTGGCCATCGCACAGTCAAAGCAACGCTTCTGCATGCTCCCTACTAACTTATCCAACGTCTCAGTGTTGATATTTTCCCAGCAGTCCATTATACATTCGAGTAGCTCATCGATATTATTAAACTGCCTTTCATGTGCGTACACTTTCCTTGCCAAGATCCCCCAAAGGTTTTCTATAGGGTTGAGGTCAGGGGACTTGGCAGGCCAGTCCATAACGTGCACTTCCTCCTCTTCAAACCATTCGTAAACGCGATTAGCACGGTGTACAGCTGCACCATCTTGCATAAACGTCCAGCTAGGACCGAGCTCTTGATCAACAAAAAGAAGGAGATTGGTCTCGAGAGTCTGAATATACTTGAGCGCATTCTGCTTCCCTTCTAAAACGACCAAGTCACACTTCTTTTTCCCAACAAACGCACCCCAAACCATCACCGAATCACCCCCTTGCTGCCGCTTTGAAAAAACCTTTCTATCCTTTCGTAAGTCATGCCAATAAAACGGGAAGCCGTCTGGTCCGTCGAGATTAAACTTCTTCTCGTCAGACCAGACTACATTTGCCCAATCACCAGGCGTCCAGGTCACCTTATCTCGAGCCCAACTTTCTCGCGCGATTTTGTGGCGCGGAAGCATCATTGGTGCGCGTGCCATGCGCATATACCGAAGGGTGGGAGTGCTGCTGAGTATTGCACGCACGCCGCTGGACTTAACAGGGAGCTGGAGTGTCTTGACAAGTTCTGTTGATGTCATTTCTCCCTTGTGCGCTTCTCGGATCAGCGCCCTTTTTGCCTGCGCAGACAGCGTAGGCTTCCTCCCGCTCCTTCTTTTGTTCCGTAGAGCTCGGGGGCTTTCAAGTAGTCAGCTACTACTTTTGCAGACCTGCCTACATGCTTGGCGATGCGGCGTATCGACCACTGAGCATCATGCAGGCCCGCAACTTTTCCTTTTTCTTCAGCCGTTAAGGATTTACCGCGCGGCATAATTGGGGGGTCTGTTGGGTACTTTTTACACGGAAGGCTGCTTGTGTTGAAGCGTATTGTATTGGGCTTTTAACGCGCTAAAGAACGCGGCAAGGAGTCTTTTGGTTGCCGAGTTCTTGGCGCGAGAATGTACTGTACTCTATACTTAATGTCACCCCATGAATACACATGTATTAATATCTGCAAAAGTATTTATGCTTCGCAAAATCTGATTGCAGATTCGGACTCAGCACGCATTGATTTATCAAGAATGTTGTTGTTTTTTATGCAACGTGTGCTGCGTGCCATAGCACGGCACAACTTGGGGGTGCGGCCATAAATAATGGCGGTACTGTACATAAATTACCCTTGGTAAGGAATGGCCGAAGGAACGGGGGCACGCGCGCCGGGCGAAGCCGAAGGTTAGCGCTGGTGCTTGTGGGAGAGACTCAAGACCTTGGGGTCATCTTTACTGTGGGCATGAGCGACGACGGTGTTAAGGTACTACTGTACTTAACAGGAAGGAGCGCTATGTACTGTACATGTGTAAGATACGACAGTGCTGGCACCAGCACGCACCCGCGCGGCACGCTCCGGCCTCGCTTTGGCACCTTCTGCCAGCAGAAGGTTGGCGGCTCTTTCGGCGGTCTTGAGAGTGGTCCCATCGGGTCATTCCTGGTTTGGCCCACGGATCTCGAATGTTTCGCGCACTAAAAAAGGCGATTGATCAAGATTTGCCGTGAGTTAGACACGATAAATCTTCGTCAATCGCCTTTTTTCTAGGCTGCCTGTCTGAGCCGCCTGTCTGAGCCGCCTTTCTGAGCCGCCTGTCTCCACTGTAATGTTACACCGCTGTAGCCCACTTCTGCTCTCTCATCTCAATGGGTAACATGATGTTTGACGACGAATCACCGGTCACCTCATTTAATCGCCTGGCCGTTGATATGACAGACCGGTTAAAGAGCGCATCCTCACCGCCCGCCACCCCTCCCCATCACCTCTCTTACCAGTCCGTGAGGTTGAAGCAAAATTTTAAAATGCGAGTGTGAAAATTGATTTTGGCGGAACCTAGTGTCTAGGTGACAAATGACCTCATATGAGGCCAGTTTTTAGGCGGGCTTTTGTAATTCAAATATTTTTAGATTCTTACGGCTACTGTAGTGTAGAGATAACAACTACAATACTAAAAGTTGGCAAACCAGAAAACGTTGAATTAAGCGTCTTACTTTCGCATCTTCGACACTTTTCTGCCACTCTTCTCTACTTTTCTTCAAAATGGTGAGCGTGAACGATCCTCGAATTATCGCAGGTAACCGCGTCCACTCCCGTGCACGACTGCTCACATCTCAGAGCAAATGTCGTCCCATGTATGGAGCAGCTTGGAAGACCAAATTGGTAATGGGAACTGTCATTCACATGATAACTGACAAAATCAATGGTCGCCGTGTCACTTCGGTCAGCGCTAAATGGGAGTTTGTCGATGGCCACAAGGACATCACGCTTTGCATCGCCAACGTTAAGGCTGGCGAATTGATCGACCAGGTTGACGAAGACTTTCAGGAAGATACTCGCCCGGAAATCGAGATCGACGCGGAAATCGACCCTAATGAGGACCGCGTGACACCGGAACAAGGAGCACTCAGACCCAGTACGAGACTCAGCGAAGGTGACCAGATGCAATCTGAAGATGAGGAAATTACTTGCCACGGCCGGGCCTGAAAGCGTGAGGAGGTCACCATGCATTTAAATGGTATGATACCGCCTCGAAGATGGAAGGTGATTAGCCCGATCGATGAGGTTGTATGTCGAGATCACGGTCCATTTCAAATGCATCCCATGGACTATTTCATGTGGATGTTCCCACAGGAGCACTTGGCGTTAATGGTGTCCTACACGAACGATCTGATGCAATCACAAGGACTTCCAATAACTACAAGGGGTGAAATGTTGAAGTTTTTTGGCGTGTTGATCGTGATGAATCGGATTGAATTCAGCAGCAGAAGATCTCTCTGGAGCTCACAGGCATCTAGCAAGTATCTTCCGCAACCTCAGTTCGGGAGTATAAACTCCCGTACATGATTCGAAGAACTTCGAAGGAATGCAACCTTCAGCTTTCCAGCTGACGCGAGTGACAGATGGGGTATGATTCCAGACTTCGTCAATGCAATCAGTGATCACCGAACATCTCATATGATTCCGTCAGAAAGCATCTGCGTTGATGAACGTATGTCACGTTGGTATTGTAGCATAAACACCCCAACGACAGGGGTGTATGTTCAGTCCGCGTAAGAGGCCCTGTAGAACGCGAGAAGAACAGAAAGGACCAGTAAGCAACGCGTGAGGAAGGACACGGGCCGGTAGCGGTGGTAGAGCGGGTCGGGTCGCGAACGCGTTAGTGTACGCGGTAGAGCGGATCGACGCCTTGACGCCCCGGCGCGGCACTGGGTGACGCTCCAGTGCCGACGGGCGGAGGCGGATCCTAGCTCACACGCGCACGTACGCGTCCGCTACCCGTGTCCTTCCACTCTAAAACGCGAACAGAGAGAGCGTGCGCGAGTTAGAGTAAGCGTTCCGGGTTAGCCGACGGTGAGGGTCTGGCCAAGCCGATGCTTGCCTTCCCTCCTCCGCCGTCGGTTCCCGTGGTTTAATATACAATTACGCGTCTGTCGCGTCTATCATACAGGGCTACAGTACAGTCCGTACTGCACTGTAGCGCGTTACAGTGCTGAGCTACCGTACTCAGCTACTGTAGCGCTGTCCATCCACGTGTGCGCGCGCGCGCCGATGATACACGTGTGTGCGGGCGTCCCGACAGTCCTGACAGTACACCTGTGTGCGCGCGCCCTGACAGTCCTGACAGTACACGTGTGTGCGGGCGTCCCGATAGTCCTGACAGTACACATGTGTGCGGGCGTCCTGACAGTACACGTGTGTGTGCGCGGGCGATCTAATTCTAATTCTGATCTGCGCTCATGCTACACGGCCGCCGCCCCAAGAGTGAACTTCTGGGTTCACCCTGGGCTTGAGGAGGATGCACCCTGACTGTCCCGTCCCCTTTCGCCCCCGTGTTTTACCGTCGCCGTCCAAGTCCGCTCTCGTGACCCCTTTTCCTTCCGAGCTCAGTGCCTTTCACTCCCCGCTAGTCGCACGCGGCGGTCCTCCGTGTCCCGCCCGCCCCGTTTTTGGGCGTTGCGTCCCCCCTGCCCTCGCGTTGTCGCGTTTCGTTTCTTACCGCCCCGGGTCGTTCTTCTTACCATCTTCTTCGCGTCTCTTCCCGCGCTGCCCTTGCTGTACTTACGTCGGTGCATCGTGTCGCGGGGTACCTCGTCATGAACGCCTACCCGCCGGAGGGTCCGTCGCCGACGTCGCTTGTCGACCCCGCCGTTGAATCGGCTGAGCAGGGGGCTCCTGTCGTCGAGATCCCCGCTGCGGACGGTCCGGGTTCGTCGCACGCGCTACCCGGCATGCGTATGGCGGGCGGCGCGACGACTTGCGCCGCCTCAGCTCCCGCTTCTCCGTTCCAAAAGCGTCGCTCATCTACAGTTTCCGTCGAGTTGGTGCCTCCACCGCGGGCCCCCGTGAGGCCGGCCGTGGCGTTCCGCCCGGCGTCCGCTGGTGTCGATGCCCGCCGCGCCGCCCCTGCGACCGGGGCGAGTGAAGCCGCCGCCCTTCTTCCGTTGGCGGTGGTGCGTGACGCGGGGGGCGCGTCCCCACCTTACCAGCCTACTGTAGGCTCACTTGGCACGGACGGCAGTTGCCTATGGCCGTCGGTGCAGGGGGGAGCGGCTCGCCCCGCAGTCGAAGCGGGTGTGGAGGAGCGGCCCTCCGCTACGCAGTGGCTCGGGTCTCCGTCGTCAGAGGATCCTCTTCTCGGTACTCGCGAACTACGGTACCCCTGGCGGCGCCGTGATCGCTCAGGAGTTACCGTCGAGGAGTTGGCTGCTCGTGCCTGGCTTCGTCCCGACCTTGCGCGCGTGCTCAAGGTGTACAACGCTGGTAGGCTGGAGGAGGCGTCCTCGGTCCTACACCGTCTGATGACCGAGGGCGGCGGGTCGCGCTACCAGCTCCCAGATGAGCTGCCCGGCGACCGCACTTTTGCCTACAGTACCGCGGAAGTGGAATACGTGGACCGAATGGGATGGTTCCTATTCGGTCCCGGACAGGACGGCTCACGTCGCTTCGTCCTGCCCGAGGTGACGGGGCTGTACGTATTCCCCCGTCTCTACGTTCACTCGAAGCCGCGCGTGGCATTGCAGAAGTCCTCTTGTTCCCTGATGCGTCTCCACGCGGTGGGATTCGCGCACCACGACTGGTCTGCCTATCGGCATCCGGACGAGGTGGACGGCCGTATTATTCCTTCCGCGGCCTTCGCGTCGGGCTTGTCGTCGGGGGACTTCCCGGTTCTCCCCCTGAACGTCAGGGAGAGCTTCCCCTCGTTAGGGGTTCATCCCCTCCTGCCACCCGTCTTGAAGCATTTTGGCTTCGCGTGTGCGGACTCTCAACACCCAGCCCACTCGTGACTCGCGTGCAATTGTCAGCGTGAGTGGGCTTGGTCCGTGTGTTGCACCTTCATGGCGGAGGTACACGTTAACGCGCGAGTGTTCCTCCAACCGCTTCAAACCGTCGCCAACTTCGAGCGACTCGTGACAAGCCTTCCCGACGCGTCGGTGCATCCCTCCGAGCGAGGCTCGTCGCATGTCCCGTGGACATTCGAGCAGGCCGTCGGGCTAATGATCCGCGCGGGTGACGTCAGCGCACAGCACCGCAGATCCTGGATGGATTACACCACTG